CCGGTGGTGCGAAAACACCAAAAAGTGGGTAGTTCCACAATTAGTTCTGGTACTATGAAAAGGTTCCCGCGGTGCGAAAGGCCCTTGTGTTACTAGTCCCTATTAATTGAATTACTAATGAACCAAACTGTCAGGATCCCGGGGTAAGTCTTGGCCCTGTCCCAAATGGCACACTTCACGAGTTTGTTGCGTTCAAGTGCTTTGTTGTCGGAAAGAACAGGAATTGGCGTGGATGGCCCATTCAAGAATTAATTTTTGCCTGTTTCTTAGAAATATTATGTTAAATCCAAAAGGTATAAGATATTTAGTCAATATCTAACAGGTTTTGAATAAAATGTAGCATCCCATTCATTGGTAAACATTCACACCTAGATATTCAGCTGGAAGACGATTCCTAATTCGGTCAAATTAATGCTATTTTCACTGTGTTCAATTACATACAATATGCATTAAATGGTTATTTATATACGTAAATATACATGACTGTAATGGCAAGAGAAAACAATGTAGATGTTGTGGGAAAAACAAATAAAATTTTACAGTACTACAGCTATGTTTCACTCCTCATGTTTATGGCCCGCCCAACTCAGAAACTCATGCCGAGCTGGCACCATGTCGTGATTACCATAATTCTGAGATGACAGCACGTGACATTCTACACGGAGCTGATTTATGTGTTTCTATGGCAACACTATCAACGCCAAAGCCTTCGCATGCTCCAGAACTTGTAATTACAACTTGTGAGCTCTGAATGTTCTGAAAGCTATGACTTGGACCATGTAACAGCTGTACCACCTGACCGTCACCAGGTTCATTTAGGCGCTACATAGGCACTACATCCAACAGATGAGCTACTGTAGCTCAGATTGCTCAAGCAGTTAATGCTGGTTCTGATGGAAAGGTGTTAGAATACACAGTGCATCGCAGTTTGTTGCGTATGGGGGTGCATAGCTGCAGACCAGTCAGTGTGCCCATGCTGACCCCTGTCCACCGCCGAAAGCGCCAACAATGGGCACGTGAGCATCAGAACTGGACCATGGAGCAATGGAAGAAGGTGGCCTGGTCTGATGAAATCACTTTTTTTTTTGCATCATGTGGATGGCCAGGTGCGTGTGCATCGCTTACCTGGGAAACACATGGCACCGGGATGCACAATGGGAAGTAGGTAAGCCGGCGGAGGCAGTGTGATGCTTTGGGCAATGTTCTGCTGGGAAACCTTGGGTCCTGCCATCCATGTGGATGTTACTTTGACACGTACCACCTACCTAAGCATTGTTGCAGACCATGTACATTCTTTCATGGAAACGGTATTCCCTGGTGACTGTGGGCTCTTTCAGTAGGATAATGCGCCCTGCCACAAACAAAAAATGGTTCAGGAATGGTTTGAGGAGCACAACATCGAGTTTGAGGTGTTGATTCGGCCTCCAAATTCCCCAGATCTCAATCCAATCGAGCACCTGTGGGATGTGCTGAACAAACAAGTCCGAACCATGGAGGCCAAACCTCGCAACTTACAGAACTTAAAGGATCTGCTGCTAACATCTTGGTGACAGAGACCACAGTACACCTTCAGGGGTCTATTGGAGTACTTGCCTCAATGGGTCAGGGCTGTTTTTGCAGCAAAAGGAGGACCAACACAATATTAGGAAGGTGGTCATAATGTTATGTCTGATCGGTGTAAACTCCTCTTGTGTTCCATCTTGTTGCTAAATCATTTTGAGCACTCTTCATTCAGCATCCTTTTGTGGCATTTCTTTTGTTCATTTTTGGTTTGTTTAATTTTGTTGGACTTGCTTTGTGTTGGTTGCGCTCTTTTGCTTTCTTCTGTGATTTGTGCACAGACCAGTATCTATCACCAGTCATCATGTTATTTCAAGTTTGATGGTTGACTCATCAGTGGCACTCGTTACTCAGGGATTGCTTAATGGAGAGTTGTTGTCATCTCATCGATAAAGGATTCCATGGTTTATCATCACTGGAAATCTTGGTCTTGTCAGTGTCCATTCCATCACTGTTTGACGTAGATGTTTTATAACTAGCTCCTTAAAAAACATTTATTTTGATTATTTCATTGACTTTAATAAATGTTTGGAATGTGACTGTTCATCTGCGTTTGGGTCTTTCATTTTCTTCAGCTCATGACACTAACTGTATCTTCAAATTCAACTATAGTAACAATTCATTAAGTACAAGTATTTATTCATTAGTTACTTTAAGTATCACTAGTCCAGGGGTAGCTAACGTCAGTCCTGGAGAGCCACAGTTCTGCAGAGTTCAGCTCCAACCCTAATCAAACACACCTGAACAAGCTAATCAAGGTCTATGCGTTAGAAAGATACAGACAGGTGAGTTTTTATCAAGGCTAGAGCAAAACTCTGCAGGACAGTGGCTCTCCAGGACTGACGTTGGCCACCCCTGAACTAGTCAGATACTAGTAACAGTTTTAATCTAATTCCTGTAATTTAACTATAAAGTTAGCTATCTGAATGGACAGTAGTAAAACTGGAATAAATCAGCACAAATTTGACAAGCTGAAAGTCGATACATGAGATTTGCATATAATTTGAAGCAATTGTTGTTTTGTGTAGCCCCCTACAGCAGATTCGTTGCCAATGCAATCCGTCCTTTTCAAGTTCGCACTGAGATATATTAAAGCAACACCATTTAACTTTTGCTCACGATTCCCCCATGTGGCTGATAAGCGTAATTTTCTGTTACCAGTGTCGTAAATACTATCGCTGTATAAGCTTGCCCGTGGGCAGTACAATACACATGAATTTGTTGACTAAGCTGACAGAACCGGCGAATGGAGAAACCTCGTTTGGAAACCATGTCCACTGACCAGGTAAAGTAGCCCGTGTTACACTATGTTCTACAATTACATTACATATTTTTATTTATTGTTACTCCAAAGTATGTTTGCCGAGTTTTTTTGCTCGCATAGTTCGTATTGTGTTGGTTGCGCTCTTTTGCTTTCTTCTGTGATTTGTGCACAGACCAGTATCTATCACCAGTCATCATGTTATTTCAAGTTTGATGGTTGACTCATCAGTGGCACTCGTTACTCAGGGATTGCTTAATGGAGAGTTGTTGTCATCTCATCGATAAAGGATTCCATGGTTTATCATCACTGGAAATCTTGGTCTTGTCAGTGTCCATTCCATCACTGTTTGACGTAGATGTTTTATAACTAGCTCCTTAAAAAACATTTATTTTGATTATTTCATTGACTTTAATAAATGTTTGGAATGTGACTGTTCATCTGCGTTTGGGTCTTTCATTTTCTTCAGCTCATGACACTAACTGTATCTTCAAATTCAACTATAGTAACAATTCATTAAGTACAAGTATTTATTCATTAGTTACTTTAAGTATCACTAGTCCAGGGGTAGCTAACGTCAGTCCTGGAGAGCCACAGTTCTGCAGAGTTCAGCTCCAACCCTAATCAAACACACCTGAACAAGCTAATCAAGGTCTATGCGTTAGAAAGATACAGACAGGTGAGTTTTTATCAAGGCTAGAGCAAAACTCTGCAGGACAGTGGCTCTCCAGGACTGACGTTGGCCACCCCTGAACTAGTCAGATACTAGTAACAGTTTTAATCTAATTCCTGTAATTTAACTATAAAGTTAGCTATCTGAATGGACAGTAGTAAAACTGGAATAAATCAGCACAAATTTGACAAGCTGAAAGTCGATACATGAGATTTGCATATAATTTGAAGCAATTGTTGTTTTGTGTAGCCCCCTACAGCAGATTCGTTGCCAATGCAATCCGTCCTTTTCAAGTTCGCACTGAGATATATTAAAGCAACACCATTTAACTTTTGCTCACGATTCCCCCATGTGGCTGATAAGCGTAATTTTCTGTTACCAGTGTCGTAAATACTATCGCTGTATAAGCTTGCCCGTGGGCAGTACAATACACATGAATTTGTTGACTAAGCTGACAGAACCGGCGAATGGAGAAACCTCGTTTGGAAACCATGTCCACTGACCAGGTAAAGTAGCCCGTGTTACACTATGTTCTACAATTACATTACATATTTTTATTTATTGTTACTCCAAAGTATGTTTGCCGAGTTTTTTTGCTCGCATAGTTCGTATGTAGCATTGTTTGCAAAGGGTGTAATTTGTATAATAGAATAAAACGTTGTCCGCATAATCATGTAGCCATAAGTTTATAAGGCAGATCATTCTCTCTCTTTCTTTTCTTCGCTTCCTCCGACAAATCCCTTTTTGGTTTCTTTGCTGGCTCTGCCATGGCGTTGGTTTTGAGACTTGCATTAGATCATTTCATCTTATAGTTAGCTGTTAGCTAACTCCACCCAGGCTACGAGTAAAATATATGACTTAAAGCAAGTCGCTCTCTTCCGCTGGCATTGGATGGGCGGGGCTGTGTGTACCGACCCGAACATGAAACTTACAGAATGTGGTTTTAGCGGCTAGGAGGCTGCTCAGGTAGCAGCGGCAGTAGAATTAGTCCGGTTAAGAGGTGTTCTACCACTGAAATAATTTTATAGACAGTTATTTTAAGGTAAAAAAAACTATATAGTGTTGCTTTAAAGTTAAACTGATATTTTTAAGGTTAAAAAACACATGCAGCTGCTTTAATTGCACAAATTAGCAATGCATTTCCAATAATAATGGAACAGTGACTAGTATAGCTTATAGGAATAAGACTTATTGAAAAGATTTAATAATAAATACAAAACAACAGTAGAATAAGTATAGTAGAATAAAAAATAAAAAGGTTTTAATGAATAAATGTTAAAGCGGCTTGCCACACAAACAGCTCATTGGCCAAAAGCTGCTCCTTGTGCCATTAAAACTGTAATTACATGCTAGTTATCAATGTAAAATGTCTCATAAATATTGAAATGACAGTTTCCAGTGGTCTGTCGGGTTGTTTTCCTCTTCTTTTTTTTGGGGGGGGGGGTTGTTTTTTTCCACCTGTGTGTTGAAGCACCTCCTCTGAACAATCACATGGGAGATGTGACCGCACCATTCAATCTCAATCAGCTCTCACGCGCTCTGCCTACCGGAGTCACTTTCGCTTAGAAACATGTCATCACTTTAACTAAAAGTGTTCCTTGAGACTTTGTCTATTTTAAGGAAGTGTCTGCACCAGCACAGCACAACACCTCGCGCTGTCGTTTGGCAGATGTTCAACAGTGGGCACTTTGTGTTGTCTCGCGTGAGATCTGAAACAAGCTGGTTATTTTCACCTGATCGCGCTTCGCGGGCTTCTTCGAGATGAAGAGGAGAGACAAGCTGAAAATCCCCTCCCTCACTTTGGAGTAAGCGAAATATTTCTTTCATTATTCAAATGTTGGTGATGAATGATTTACTCGCGACGGGGGAAACCCCCCCGGAACTGGCGAATGAGTTTGTGAGAGACGAGCCCACAGACAAAACAATCCCTTCGTTTTCTAGTTTCTCTTCATTTCCCGTGTGTTTAAGGGTTGGTGTTGGTGTAAACTAAAGCGCTAACAATAAGTAGCAAAGTGTCGGTATACGGGACACACAAACACACGTTAAGCGATACATGTGTAACAAGAAAGGTTAAAATAAAATGTATCATTTTGTGACGCGAAATAGCTTTCCATTTGTTTCATGCGCATTACCCAACCATACCGTTAGGTTCTTAAACCTTAAAACCTAAATGAATGTCATTTCGTTAAATGTCATGTATGAGTAACAGTCTGTGTTTATTAGACAGTTCGTGGCTTCTTCTGTTTCAGCTTTATGTTTGTACACTGTAGAAAATGATGGAAATTGTAATGCTAAAAGAATGCTACAGTAAAACTGTATAATCTTTACAAAATGCATATTATTTAAGAGCATTTTACTGCACAAATTGCTGTAAAAAAATGTTTTTGACATAAAAAGTATGAATCACATACTTTTACAGTAAAATATTGCTAAAATAAATGTGTAAGTAAAAAATGTAAGTCGCCTGGTAATTTATGGTGGAAAAACAGTAAAAGTTCACATGAAAGCTTCACATTTATTTCGGTTTTATTTTTCTTGCACATTTCTTATTTTGTCACCTTTTATGTTGTTTAGTTAAAGTATTAGTTCACTTCCAGAATAACAAGTTCCTGATCATTTACTCACCCCCATGTCATCCAAGATGTTTATGTATTTCTTTCTTCAGTCGCAAAGAAGTTAAGGTTTTTGAGGAAAACATGCCAGGATTTTTCTCTATATAATGGACTTCAATGGGGAACAACGGCCTGAAGGTCCAAATTGCAGTTTCAGTGCAGCTTCAAAGGGCTCTACACGATCCCAGCCGAGGAACAAGGGTCTTATCTAACGAAAAGATCATCATTTTCTTAAAAAAATAAAAATGTATATACTTTTTAAACCACAAATGCTCGTCTTGCACTAGCTTGACTTCACGGATTGCGTAGCCTCGTTGGAAAGGTCACGTGTGACGCAGGCGGAAGCACCGACCCAGTGTTTACAAAGCGAACGTGCAAAGAAAGTCAAACACCCTTTACAAAAAAAAAGGTAAAACGGCGATGTCAGATGATTTTGAAGTTGGAGGAGAAAATGAGATGGAGTTTTTCACCCTACCCTATCTTTCTGAACCGGAGTACACAGATGAAGAGCTAAACGCATTCCAACATGATTACATAATGCGTGGTGAATTTGCGGTTGTGCATTTGTGGTAGGGCTGGACAATAATTCAATATCAATATGGATCGCGATATAATTTTTTTCAATAACGGTGATATGATTTTTAAACACATTTACGATATTTCGATATACATTACCAGTGTTTCCCATACATTGATTTATTTGTGGCGTTTCACTTCGTTGAATAAACATGAGCACTGCACGTTTCAAAATCA